CATCACTTTAAATGTGGTGTAAATGAATAAATCAATTCATCTTTTAATCGCTTGTCTCAGCCAGGGTCATGGGGTGAATACATACACAACAGGGTGTGTGATCCTCCTACAGCTGGCAGGCAGCATGCTTTTCATGTATCAATATTCAACCTTGTATTGATTCACACATGCTCTGCCCTTCTGACGTCCATCACTCTGGAGCACTCCCTGGGTTCTCTGTAAAACATGCAATCATGTACAAATAAATGTAAATGTGATGAGAGGACTGGACAGTAAATACAGCCACCAGCAGTCCCTGTCAGTCCCAGAAGCAACAACACTCTGAATTAAAACAAAGTAAATTTCTTCATAAGTGTGTGTGTGTGTATATATATATATATATATATATATACACACACACACACACACACAAACAAAACAGATATGTTACTAATAAACATAAAGCCTTGCTTGAGGGGCTTTCTGCATGAGCTTTTTTAAAGTGTGTTAGGTGGCAAATGATTCCTCAGTAAAGATGCCTGTGGCAGATGTATGGCCAGAATCCCTGAATGCACTTTGGAAGCATATTGATTCATTGATTAACTTTTTGTCCATTTTTCCAGCAACCACAATATAATATGTACTGGAGTAAAGAAAAATAAACAACATAAGGACATTTTAAAGAAATATTTTTAAAAATTGTTATCAACAACTATAATAATAATCATCATGAAAGTAAAACAGCTGATTGCACTACCTGCATTAGCGATAAGACTGTGCTAAATGGCCTGGTCTACAGGGGGGGTGAGGGTGATATTTACACACATTCGTGCACACACACACTCACACACACACACACTCACACACACGCACACACACACACACACACACACACACAAATGGACGTATTCTCCATGTCATTGCACTGCCTTTCTATTCCTTTATTGTGTGCTGTTGTGTTTTATGTTGCACATACGGTCATGGAGAATGATATTTTGTCTCACTGTATACTTATTGTGTATTGTTGGGATGACAATAAAGCTCATACTAATAGACAGCAACACAGACACACATACAGACACACACACATACACATATATACATACAAATATATATACATACAAATGCCACTCAGCAAATCACAAAAAAGCCAGTTTGGTCAATAATATTCCTTTTCTAATGCATGAGAAAGTATCAGCGTGCTGTATACGAATTGTTATTAAAATGTCAAATCTATGAATTCCCTTTGAATTACCTTAATGGCATCCCCTACTTCTGTATATCAGTATATATATTTGAAAATCATATAATCGCTGTCAGAAATGATTTTAATTGGATTTTTTCCCACCTAAAAGTAAAGATGTTCATGTGTCAACCTAGTTTTGGACTTAATTTAGTTCTATGGGGGTCAATTACTGTATTTAGATTTCCATTAAAATAGATTTCCTAAGGAAATAGGCCAGGGACTCGCCGTAAATGAAGGGCATTTGTCCTTACCACAAAACACAAGCATTTGCTTTTCCCGTGTCGTTAAATCTTGAGGATCTGTAATAACCGTGCTTATACCCTAAAATGTATGCAAATGCCTTTCACAATGGTCTTCAAATAGCAGACCCTGCAACTGTTACTTGAGAAATAGTGTGTTACGTACTTCTCATTGAACGAATTCCTGCATGCTGGGGTGATTTTGCGCTGTAACGATGAGATGCATGCAAGCCTGTGGCAGAATCCGCCGCCACTGTGCCAGAACTGTACTGCGAACGCGCAGTTTTGCCAATGCGCGTTTCTTTCCTCCCCCTTTTCTTTTTGCGGCGGTTCGCATACGCAATCCCTGAATGGTCGGTTGCCATGGTTTCCCTGGGTCACATGCGTGGGTTTCCTAGCGCCAGCAGCAAAGGATGCTACATTTCGCCCTGCCATTTTCATTCAGTAGCGACATAGTAGCGAGAAGGCAGAATATTCACATTCTGCGGTGTCTATGGGAATGAGGCCACATCTGTAACGCTGCCTAATCGGATCTTTTATTTTACATATTTTTTTTAATCCCCCTCAATACCTTAGCTTTTAGAGCCATCCTTCAAAAACAGTCACGTTATTTAACCACAAACTGCGTTTTGTTCTGATTTCTCCCGGAGACTGACAATAGGAATGAGTATAGAAATCCCCGAAGGACTGACGGAGCTGTTGCAGAGCTTTACAGTTGAAGTGCTGAGGAACCAGCCGAGAGATCTGCTGGAGTTCGCGCTGCAGTATTTCACTAATCTGAAGGAAAGTCAGAACGCCGGCGCTGCCTTGGGCAATGACCAAAACCCGGCCACTAGGCATGGCAAGGCTGTCAACTTTATCGAGGAAGCCATGCAGATCGACTCGGAAAACGGGGAGGATGATGACGACGACGACGAAGAATTCGTAGGTAACAGATTACCTATAATCATAACTTATATTGCTATCTTTTTATCGATAGCTTATATTGATTTGCTAATTTGATACCGAGCTCAGGCAGCTGGCTATCCTTGGTTAAAGAGTTGAGGAACGTGCGATCAAAACGTAATGAAGCTAGCGACCATGATTCCGCATTTTCCCAGAACGTGAAAGGAGACGTGAAACAAATTGTGAAAATCTGTTTATAACTAGGATGCGCCTTATATAGTCTTTTTTTCTCGCCTGACCACATGAAGAAAATGCAACATGATCCACAAAAAACCCGTAAGTGTATTAAAATGCCTCTTATTAACGTGGTATATTTACACATTAGATCCTACAAATGGAGCGACAGTTTGCATTTTCATTTCCTAATTATAATGGTGTGTAACTATTCAAAGTAGCCTAATTGAAAACGAATTGAATGAAAGCAGGCCGTATATGTTAGGCCTGTTGTAACCATCGCAGTTTACGGCAACCGCTCAAACAACCCAACGCATTTATGTGTGTATCTACATTTGAGGATCATTATTTATGAAATTAAAGAGAACATACACAGTGTATGGATATACAGAGATGGTCGCTGTAGATAGCAATGTAATAGTGAGTGTCAAGAGGGACTAAGTAAATGAAAATGCATTTTCAGGAATGTAGGCTGATGAAACTTGATCAGGGTAAATTCGCTCCGCAAACAAATAAATAAATAAAAAAACAAACAAATCGTAGACTGTCACGTGACAGCCGCAGGCGCTCTGGAGCTGTCCAGCCTTAGTGCTTCCTCCGCTGAATCTGCTCTATGGAGAGTGACCGAATGTACTGGGTCATACAGCGGATGTCCACCTGATTTTATACAGTGCGGCACTCGCCCTGTGGTGTATTAGGAACAGGGACAGGGGTCAGGGAACGTATCCTGGGACGTCTTAATTGTGTAAGGTGCTTGGGGGAGGTGTTGTTTATATTATCCAACTCCAGATATTTCAACCGTTGTAGTAAAACAAAAAGACGCTCAAGATAACTTTGACATATGGTGTCGTATTTATTTTTGCTTATATAATGTTTATTATTATTATTATTATTATTATTATTATTATTATTATCTCGCGTAAAATTACAGTTTTATTGAGCTGCATGCTTACTGAAGCGATTAATTCCGACCACCTTCCTCACTGGGACAGCAGCTGAGGTTCCTTCTAGAACTGGTCTTTAGTTTGAAATTCTTGTCATAGTCACTTTGTGGCTGGGTGACATGATTAAAGGGTAGCACATCAAATGACAAAAATAAGGACAGCAATACTTTGTTTGGGGCATAAGAAGAACATTTGCAAAATGAATTCTGGTTAATGGATGTTTAAGAAATGATAATGCTGCTGTTTGGATTCCAGCTACAGCTGTTATTCAATGACTCTTTAGATGACTAGAAATATTCCATGCATTTTCCATAACTGATTATCCAGTAGAGAGTTGTGGTGAGTTTGGGGCCTGTTCCAGGAAGCCTGGGACATGCGGTAGGGGGCGCCCTGGGTGGGGAGTGGGGACATGCGGCAGGGGGCTCCCTGGGTGGGGAGTGGGGACATGCGGCAGGGGGCTCCCTGGGTGGGGAGTGGGGACATGCGGCAGG